ACCTCTTTTTAGGGAAAAAAAAACTGTCAGGAATGTTAAATTGTTTAGTAACTTTTTAGATAATATCTGGACCAAACCCCTTAATTGTAGTTGATTTTTTAAATACTCTAGTAATGCTTCATATTTTTGTTACTATAGTATTATATACAGTTCTGTTCCTTTGGGTAAAAAGGTGACGGAGGGTCAGGTTGGATGTACAGAGGAAATCACCCGGACATGAGAATCAGCAGCTGGGGACGACAGGACCTTTTCCTATCACTCAGTCAGCTGAGTGAGCTTAGATATGTTCGCCTCGCCTCATCTACCTGTGCATGAGAGCCTGCTGATGCGCTGCCACTGACTGAGAGCCTGCTCCGTGCTGGGCAGCAGTATCGCTAATCTTTACAACAGTACTTCAAGGTGGACATCATTCCACCCATTTCATAAATGAAGAAAGTGAAGCCCAGTAGGTTAAGTGACTTGCCCACAGCACACTGCTCATAAGCCACCAATGCTGAGGTTCTGGTCCATCTGGGTATGAAGCCCACATATTTTATTCTATGAATTTATAATTCTCTGAATTACTCTTATTTCACTTTGGGAATCTCTATCCTGACCATATTCTTCTGCTTTTTTATACCTTTTTTACTCCTGAGCGTTCTTTTGAAAAAAACTGCTGTTGATTTTAACTAACCACATTTTGGGCAATTGTTCCTTGACACATTTTTCTAAATCTGATTGGCTTTTCAATGTTTCATCACAGGTCTTCTTACAACAGACTGCTTGCATACAGTCTGTCAAACTGGATAAGTCTATTCTCATCCATTTAAATAATTATAAAATAAAATTATTGAAAAACAGTGTCCTTGTGCCTCCAAGTGTCAGGACTTTTCAGGATCACCTTTCACATCTTGCTTCCAATTGATTGTTATGTAATTATTTCATCAGGTGTTTGTCGGGTTTCATTTGTAATCTCCCTGTCCATGGTTTTCTCTATAGAAACAGAAGAATGAAAAGAAAAAATGCAGCTCGTGAGAATGTTCTCCTGCCACGATGGCTAATTCTTTCTGTAAATGATATGGATTTATAGGGTCTTGGTTTATCAATTAAACCTATGCTAGTGCATTCTTTCCAGAATCTTAATTCTCTTGCTTTCTTATATTTTCATCACACATGTTTGAGGTGCAGCTGTATAAAAATGTCTTTATGCTCAGAGGTTCCTTTTGTAATAGAAATAAACTTTAATTGCTGCAAGGCTGAAGAAATCAGTTGTGATCAAAAATAGCTGCAGTTTTAGGAAAATATACATTAATTTCCCCAGCAGTTAAATATGTTTAAAAAATATAAGTGAATTAGTTAGTCCCTATATGATCAAGGAAATAATGACAAACTATTTTAATTATTTTTACAAGTTCAAACTTCAGCATTCTTATCATCTTGTTACTTCCGGTGACTTAGCTTCCTTTGGGTGTTTATATCCCAGGCAAATCTTGTGAGAATATCAACTGTGCTTCATCTTATGCCTCTACACTTTGCAGCTAGAGAGTATGGAATTTAGAAATTGACTTTGACATAATTTTATAAAATTAGTATAATAAGATGTGACCTTCTCTTTTGTCTGCAAGTTTGATATCTGACTGTTGTTAACCTTCATAAGTTAGTTCTGAAAGTTTAAGACATGGGGAAAGTGGGATGGAGTGGAGTGAGGTGGAATCTGCTCGCCTCTATTGTCAACTCTGGAGTCATATGTGTTAGGCTTTGTGAATTCTAAGCCAGAGACTTAGGCTCAGTAACCCCACCCCCAGTTTTATACTTACCTGTAAGTATCATACAAATACTGTTTGATAATTTTATGCATGTTGTTGGTACTGCATAAAATTCACTAAGTAGATGTTGGGTAGGAAGGGCTTTGTTAAGATGCCTTTGCATATTGTGATACCTAGTTTTCTAATAGTTGAGTTGACATATTTTACATGACTTTAATTTTGTTTATTTAAGTATTAAAATGTATGTAACACAGCAATGTTTGACTGTCTCCAAAGAAAGTAAAATATTTCCAGATAAGTTGTCTAGCCTCAAATGTACTTCTCCAGGAAAAGCAAAAGAAACAAAAAGACATTGTTTTCAGTTTGGTATGCATCCCAGACCTGGATTTGATGTATTTATAGAGAGAGAGAGAGAGAAGGAAAAAAACAAAACCAAACAAAACAAAACACATGGTGTTGATTTGTATGTATGTGTTTTATATAAATAGTATCATATTGTATATTGTTGATCAGCTTTCAAGAAAGTTTTCCAGTTAGCAACTCTGGTTAAAAAGACTTCCATACCACCATTTCTACCTCAGGCAAAACTGTGAAGGAGATGAAATTTTTTTCTGGGCCTCTGTTATTTTGCTCATTATCTTTTTCATCCATCTTTGGTTTTCAGTCCCTCCTCTCTCCTTCCTCATCCTGTCTCTTGGACTCTGAGGAAAAGATTCCTGTCCTTCACTTTGAACTTAAGTCGGTGTATTGCTTACAATAATACTTGTATATTAATTGTTAGCACCAAGTACAAAACAAAATGTTTTATTCCAGTTAAAAGAACTTCCAGTACTAACAAGACAATGGGGAAATGTTTTAGGGAGCATGAACTTTCTTCTTTGCCCCTGAAGTCCCACCTACTAAGTACCTGCTCATTCTGTGAGGCCATGAAGCCAACTCAGCCCAAGATTATTTTCAAAGAAAAAGCACACATTTTTTAACAGGCCTTACATCTGATTATGGAAGCACTTGTTGGAGTTCCAATTTATAATTTGAAATTATGGGCTCATCTGCTCAACCTGGAGCAAGGCAATGGAGTATTAAGACTGTTCAACATGTCCAGATGAAAAGGAGGCAGATAATTTGCTCTGAGAATATGGGAGACCATGCACCCCTACTGCTGTTGTCACATGGTAGTGATGGCTGTAACACAGCTAAGAACCTAATGGCCCTAAAAAAAGAACTGTTGTGTTCTCTACCGCCAGGCATTTGGCTCCTCTGGGGTCATTTTGGATCCCAAGCTTTAAAAAATTTTTTACCGCTACTTACATCTCTGTGGTTTTCAAATTCACGGTCCCGCTGTTGCTTCCTTCCTTGAAGAATGCGTTCCTGCTTACTGCATGCCGGGCATGATGCTGGTCATTTTTGTTTACTTCATATTTTATTAAAGCAGCCAGATTTAATAAGGCAGCGATTAGGATACCCTTTTGTCAGGTGAGGCCATTGAAGTTCAAGGTCACCTGACTAAAGTGGTTGTTTCCTAATTCAAATTGAGATGACATTAACTGCAATGTCTGTCTTTTCCATTAAGCCTTGCAGCATCTTTTTATATCCCTTTTTCTCAAAGGATAGTGCAGAGACGTTTTACAAGCAGTCTTGCATTATATTTTGGACTCTCTCTCTCTACATCAGTGTCATTTTGGAGAAAGTTTAAAAAATAAACTGTGGAGTATTCATCATTAGATATGAATGTAATTTGCCATGCTGGAAATTCTATCAGCCAAATCCATTTAAAGTCTTGATGATAGAAATTTTCTTTTCACTAAGAGCATCTGCCAGCTAAAATGATGACCAAGAGTGAGAAGCTACTCGAATAATCAAATCTGTTCACTGACTAAATTCTTAGATTAATGAAAACCCCGAGTTCCTTTGAGGGATTACACGCAGTATTCTGTCTAGCAATCTCCTACCAGCATTCTGAAGAGGAACTAGAATTTTCTTTCTCTGGCTGTCCAGTTGGATGATACTTTTTTTTTAATGCAATGTATTTGTGGTTTAGCATTTCAGCTTCTTTTTGTTGTTGCAAAATTAATTAAACTACATTTCCTGTTAAGACATCATATTCACACCAGGTGTAACTTGTGTATACATTTTACATTGCATTGAGTGAAAATACAGGTGATCTAGAATGACCTGATTCATTTGTATTCTTTTTTTTAACATTTTTTATTGATTTATAATCATTTTACAATGTTGTGTCAGATTCCAGTGTTCAGTACAATTTTTCAGTCATGCATGGACATATACACACTCATTGTCACATTTTTTGTTTGTATTCTTAGTTGATACATTTGCACTATATTGATACTTGAACTCATCAAAGCAAAATTTATTATTAGAAAATAGGATTGTTTGGTCTTTTATTTCTTGTCACAACTCTAAGCATTTTGCTTTGGGAAGATAATGCTATTTTGAGTCTAACAAAATAGCTTAAGATCATTGACTACATGCTTAACAAACTTTAAGTAATCAGGAAGTTTGTCCTGAAAATCAACTTCTTCTTTTGAATTTTGAGTTAAAATAATTTATTTCATGATTTATAATTAAAAATAATTAAATTATACATTAAAATAATTAAATCGTATATATAATTTATATATAATTATTATTATATATAAATTACATTACATATAAAATAATTAAATTATTAAAATAATTCAATTATTTTCTGTTTTAAAATGGGATTTATATTGTTTATAGTGTGAAGCTCTGTTACTGAGTTTTGGGGACTATGTTCTGACATGGTGGGAGATATACCATTGGGATGTCAAGACCTTGTACATATGTTTGTTCTATCCCCTGAAACCATCACTCAGGTATTTGTGAGATGGTTTAGGGGTAGCAAGTGGAAATGCACTCGTGGCCAATGTTTTAGAAATACAGGTGAGATCTTCTGTGTCTGTGAATTTCTTAGGTTGAAAGGATCTTCTAAATAGTGTTCTAAGCTGCTCAGACTGTTCAGTCATTCAAATTTTAGAGAACAGAATTCCTTGAAGCCACTGGCAATATCATTAAGTCTACCACCACCTTTATAGTCAGTCTTATTGCATGTTTCAGTTAAGTCCACCTGTTTGAAATACTAGCCAATTTCTAGTCATTACTCCCCCACCCTCAAAGAATGCTGTTTCATTTGAGGCATTATCACAATAGCATAAATTCTCCTATGCCTAGAAATGCCCATTAACAATGACATTTTCATTTTTTTGTTGTTTTTAGAGCATCAGGGCATCGGGCCTTATTCTGTTGGAAACAATCCTTTTTGGGTCTCTGCTTCTATACTTTCCGGTAAGTAACTTTATTGTATAATTGCATTTTTTAAATTGCCATTTTATTTTGCTTAAGCATACAAAAGCATACAAGGAAACCTTGGTTTCCCCCTGTAAAATGGCGCTAATTATACTTTTCTTTCCAAATTTGTAAGAAGGGTTAAATGCTTAACTGAACTCACATGTGAAAAGCATGCTTTGTATATACATATACATACTGCTTTCCCTTTTCTTCCCCGCTACCTGAATCAGAACCATGTGACACACCAAGTAGTTAATGCCACTGAAAAATGCCAAATGGTTACATAGAAAAATAAACAAAATAAATGTGTGTGCGGTACTAGTGGCATAGGTAATCATGGTAGACTCTTCCCATCGCACTTGTAACATGTCTGGAACCAGAAGGTAAGTACTGATTTTACTAATTCAAGTCAACCAACTTGTATTCAGCAGTTCTGTATCAAGCGCTATGCTAATCTGGGAACACTGTACGTGAGAGAAACTTACTTTCTCATCTCAAGAAGCTTACAGTTTAGAAGAGGTGATAGTCCATACAGGCAGTTATAATGTAATGTGACAAATGCTGAGAAGTGTGGTAAGGGCAGGATGCTGCAGAGGCACTTAGGAGAGACACCTAACCAAGTCTGGGGAATCAAATATATGACCGAGATCTGAAAGATGAGGAGATGTTAGAGGAGTAAGAGGCAGAGCTTCCAGGCCACCAAATTCTTTTTGGTTTTCCTCTTACCTCACTAGCAGCTCCATTCCAGCCTTTGCTGATTCTTTTTCTTCTTTCCCACTTTTTAATACTGGAGGGTCTCAGGACTCAGTCCTTGCAGCTTTTCTCACTCTTCTCCCCTGGTGATCTCATCTAGCCTCAAAAGTTTTAAATACTGTTGAATTACCAGTGACCCCCAAGTTTGTATTTCCAGCCTAAACCTTTCCCTTGAGCTCCAAACTCACTTTCAGCAGCTTAACCATTGGAAGGTCCAGTAGAATTCCCTGTCGTGTTCTTACCTGGGGTACTGATCTCCCTCAGCCCCCAAGTCAGTCAGTCTGTCTGTCTCTGCTGACAGCAACTCCACCCTTCTAGTTGCTCAGGCCAAAACCCTGGGAGTCATCCTTGACAGCTCTTTCTCTCACATCCATTGGAAAACCATTCAAAACATAGCAAGGATCCAGCTACTCCCCACCATGTTCACTGCTACCAACATAGCCTAAACCACGATCACTCTTTTCTGGATTATTGCCAGTCTCTTCCTGGCCTCTCTTCCTCTGTGCTTACCCTCTGCCAACTGTATATTTTCAAAATATCAGCCAGTTTTAATGCCAGAGTTAGACCACGGCATTCCTCTTCTCAAAATTCAGAGAAGGTTTCCCATTTTGCTTACAGTAAGAGCCAAAATCCTTAGGATGGCCTTCAAGGCCCAACATGATTTTGGTCCTGCCCCCTCTGTTACCCCATTTTTTAATTATCTTTCCTGACTCACTTTTCAAAAGCATTCTTAATCTATCCAGGTTTTCTACTTCTTGAATTACATGTTATATTTCTGCTTAAGACAAATATATATTTAGGTGTAATTTTTATTTTTCCATAAAAATATCCATATTATTTAAGTGTCCTAATTTATTAGCATACATCTAGAGTTATACGCAGTAATTAATAATAGAAGCAATATAAGAATACAAAGACTGTTTATCATGCCTGGTAGTATTTCTGTATAAATGGTATTTTGTATATTGGAACGTTTGACCTTCCCCCCATTAAACTACCAGACAGATATTTAACCAAAGTCATGGAATTGCCCAATTATGAAGTAAAAGACCTGAAATGACTTCAATAATCTGAATAATAACCTTAATCGTATGAATATGTGTTGTTGCTGCTCTGATCATCTTTTTCCTGAACCTCTGCTATTTTAAAATATATTTTCTACCCAGTAGCCAGAGAGGTATTTTAAAATATCAAATCTAACCTCTCACTATCTCTATAGCTTCTCAGTGTTCTTAGAATAAAGACCGAAACTCTTGACATGGTTTATAATGTTGTGCATAGTGTGGTGCTGGTCCACCCCCAGCAGCCAGCCTCATCCGGTACTACTTTTTCCTCACTTTCTGTACCTACCTACCCTGACTTTCTTTCAGTTTTTAAATGAAACACGATCTCATGGTAGGCATAATAATGGCTCCCCAAAGATGTCCACAGTCCTAATTCCTGAAACCTGTGACTATGTTACCTTACGTGGGAAAAAGAATTTGGCAGATTGATTAAATTAAAGACTTCACATTTAGGAGATTATTCTGGATTCTCTGAATGGTCCAAGGATCCCAAGTGAGAAAGAGAAGCAGAAGAGAGTCAAAGAGATGGAGATGAAGCCACAAAAAATATCGGACTGTCTGTTGCTGGTTTTGAAGATAAAGGAAGAGGCCACAAGCCAAGGGATACAGGCAGCCTCTGGGAGCTGGAAAAGGGAAGGGAGCATACTCTTCCCCCAAGGCCTCTAGAAGGAACACCTTGATTTTAGTTCCATATTCGATCCATTTTGGACTTCTTACTTCCAGACCTGTAAGATAATAAATCTGTGTTGTTTTAAGCCACTGAATTTGTGCTGATTGCAGCAGCAATAAGAAACTAATTACGCCTCTTATCATAAGAACTTTTCACATGCTTTTCCTTCAGTTCTGAAGACTCCTCCTCTCTTTGCTCCACTCCCATCTCACCAAGTCTTTTGCCTAATTAATAACCATCATCTTTATTTTTTTTAACTAATCATCTTTAGATTTCTCTTAAAAGATCGCTTTTTCGAGAAAGCTTTCCTTGACCCCAATCTGAGTCAAATTCCTTGCAATAATTTCTCATGAAATCCTGGTCTCTTTCTTAACAACTCCTATCTCAGTTTGTAAGAGTACATTTCAAAGTGCAGTTATTTGATTACTGTCACTCTCCTGTACAAACTCTAGTTCTGTGAGAGCAGTGGCCTGTTTCCATGTTGCTCACTATTATATGTGCAGCCCTTGGCTCAGTGCCCGTCGCCACTGTCAAAGCACAGTAAGTATGCAGTGAATGAAGAATAAGGATATACATGGATGAATTTAGAACCGTACCCTAAACTAGTTGCTGCCGTCCTATTGAAATAGCCTCCAGAGAATCTGCTTGATTGTGGGAGACCAGAAATGGTAGTCCTTATTTATACTACTTTGTGTAATGCCTACAGTTAGGCATTAAACACTTCTTAATGTTATTTTTAGATGTTAGCAAATTTTCATATATTTTTTATTTGTAGGATTCATACTTATTCAAATCAAGTGGTCCTAATAAAGAGCATGGGCCTAAAATCTATAGAAGAATTTTAAAGCCTGTTAAACAGTTGCATTCTAGAAAAGAAGGACATTTGAAACAATAGTATATGTTAGGCTGCTAAATGTTCAATAACTGCTCCTTTTTTACTGACTGGGATCCAATTTTGAAAGACATGTGGTGGACCTATATGATATATCAAGTACAGAAAAAAAAAAGGAGAAATGGAATTTTAAAAGGAATAAAAGAAATACTTCTGCTTGACAATTCTATTATGCCTGGGAGGAAAAAAAGGAAAAAAACAGAAAAGATTTACCAAACAAATTCTCCCCAACAGAAGCAATAGGATACATCATCATGTTGACTTCATGCTTAACTAGCTGTCTAATTCATCTTTCATAACGTAAATTCTTTCTGCAGCTGCTTGGACAATGAGTGTGTAGCTCCCAAACTCGTGCTATATACCTTGGTTTTGAATAAGTTAGTGTCCGTGCTCCAATGACGGAAAGGTCATGATGACAAATTACTTAATGAAGATTTGGATGTAATGTAAGATACAGAGGAAGAAAGGACATTAAAATATATAATTGATTGAGTCTGGAAAGAAAAGTAATTTTATTTTAGGTGAGAGAATGGAAGATGATGTCTCAGAAATTGATAATAAAGTCTTTGTCTACGTAGGGTATGTTTATGTGCATGGTGTGCATGCACAGAGCACTCCTGGCAAGAGGAATAACCTGGTCATTAGGCCAGAGCTCACTGGCTTTCCTGGGTTTTGCAGGAATGAAGTTTATAACTTTTGGCTAGATTTTTTTGCTTTCAGGAGGATCTCTGTATTAAGTGATAAAGGTGATTAAGTAAACCTAATATAGCCAAAGAATCTAAGAAGGTGATGGTATAAATTTGACCTATACTTGTTTGTTAAATATCTTACTACTTTCTCTGTTCCTTATATGGCCTCTACCAGAATGGCTCATGAAATTTTTACTGGGGCTTGCAGTTTTTTTTTAAGTGTTCTTGAATAAAGTAAAATTGTTTTTCAGGCTGGGTGACTCCCTGGAAGGACGCTTTGAGGATATTCACTGTTCTACTGAGTTGTTATGCAATGAGCCTTTTCTCCTTTTTATGCTGCATATTGTTGTACAGATTTGCAAGAATTAAAGTTATTTTTGCCTTTTCTAAGCAATCTTAGACTACAGACGATTTCATAACAATGCTTATATTGGAAAGTCCAAATTAGAGATTATCATCATTGTGCAGATAAGGACAAACCAAAATCTGACTAAATTTAGCATTGTTATAATTGGGTAGCAGAGAACTGAAGCATTTAAAACATATTCTTACAGATTCTCAAAAGAGACTCATGATTTGAAGTCCGTACATTTGTGAACAAATGATTAGTCTTCATAATCACCTTAAAAACTTTCATACAATTTATAAAAGAAAGAAAAAAGGAGCTTTTAAAAAATTCAGCTCAAGTATATTTTTCTTATTAAATCACATAAAAATAACATTTTAGGGATTAGTAAAACATATCAAGTAATATGGAGTCTAGAAGTTTGTCTTTGGCTTGACAAAACCACTGGTTTCAGCTAATAAAGTAAATTTTCCCCTCTAATCCTGGTTACCTATTTGACTGGTTGATGTGCCCTTCTGTAAAGGACATCAGTGCTATTTATTTTCAGGTTGTTTTCCCCAACCCCCACCCACAGCCTTGGCAT